TTCCCTTTCGGGACCGCGCACCTCACTTTCTCATCCTACCTCCTCTCCATGACGGCTACCCTTGGTGATTGTATCACCGGAGATGGCACGGCCAGAGGGGCCCAACACGGCTAAAAAATTGTTCTTATCGTTGTTCACAGGCGTTATTAGTAGTCGTCTCTTAAATGGAGGCACATTTGAAAATTCCGCGAGAGTGTTCTATATCGTCCCGGAATTTAACGCCAAATCGCACGGTGCTTTTGTTTCTCTTACCGCGCTCCAAACGCCGCCACAGCGGCTCTCTCACCGTCGCGGCGAAACTCACTGGTGTTGAAAACACTTATCTTGTTTTTAGCTACTTGCTAAGCCCAATCATTTCAAAACTTCAATCTGTGGTCCTGAAAATTCCCACAGCCGAAGGTAAACCCTCACTCGAAAATTAAGAAATGAGGCTTGGCTGGATTAAATTTTTTAATTCTAAATCTCAGAATGGTTATACGTTTTGTAGTCAATTTTGAAGAGCTATCGAAGCAGTGCCTAAAACTCAAAAATCAATTCAATTTGCTTTTTCTTATCTAGTTTTTAATCCTCAAAACGAAGTAATTTGGGTTGCATATATACCTGCAAGTATACCTACCTTTTCTGAATTATATTCAATACTTTGCCTAATGAATAATAAATGTCATCATGATACCATGTAAATACATTAATTTAATTAATTTCACTTGTGTTGCAGCATACGTAACCGGCCACAGAGCCTTAATTTGAAAACATTCACTTCGTGGGCCTAGGGCTAGCCTTCTGCACTAGAAAACGTAAATATTCAAAGATCGAATACAAAAGTCAAGATCAAAAAAAGGTGATCGCAGTTTGCAAATAAAAAGAACATCCACATTCCTTCATGTATTTGAGGTGCAGCAATCACCAACACGTTGCATACTCCAACCACTCCTTCATATAAGTGATGTATATTATACCTACTCATAAACAAGACACTTCATCAAAGTGACGTAGATATCGTATGTGAAAATCTCAGGGATATTTACTGCAGTAGCAAAAATACGATGTTGATGTCAGTGACCAACAGCCAATAATCTTACAAATTCAATATAGTAATTCCCATTTCTCCTGTATAATTACGATTTAACACGTTTTACTGAAAATTCATCCCTGGTACAAAAATTGCGATGAGAACATTTGGCGAAAATTCATAAAATTTTCCGGAACGGAACAATAACCCCCACCCAAAAACCCCGGGAGACAATATAACCCCCCGACAAAACCCCCGGGAGACAACCACTTTATGGCATTTTCAACAAGTTGTATAGGTATGTGTATGTAGATTCTTTTCTAAAGTTCAAAGGGAGCATGACATCCAGCAGAGGTGGGCACTAGGTTATTTGATGGTTTAGGTTATTTTTCTTAATTTTTGCTGGAGTGCATATTGTCCGGGATGATTACTGTCCAGGGGTTATTTATCCGGGGGTTAGTGTGACCCGGGAGTTTTGTCTGGGGGTTAATGCATTCGGTTTTTGTCCGGGCGTAATTTGCCGGGGGATGTTTGTCCTAGTTTCAAAATTGTCCATTGGATTAAGCTAAGAAAAATTAAAAAAAAAGCGGTTTGTTACGTAAAACTTTTGAAGTTAAAATAGTATTTTCTACTTTCTTCTCTAAAAAGGGTGAAGAAAATGCGATTTTCCTCTCTAGTGAGGAAAGTAAAAAACAATTGCTACGTATTTATATTGCTAAGTGTCAAACTTCATTATTTCATACAATAATTTTTTTAATTTTGATTATAGTTTCAGAAAAAATTATGTGTAAAACTTGAGAAGAAAGTGTTTTTCAACTCTCGTTCAATTCACACACTCGCTACGCTCATGTGTCAAACTTTGAACTCGAGTTGAAAAACTCCACTTTCTTTTCTAGTTGTACAAATTATTATTACACTTTTGGGTTTGCAAATTCTTAACGGAAAAAGGTAAGTTTTGAAAAACCTTTCTTAGAGCTATATTGTGTTAAAAAAAAGTAAACTAACCTCGAGAGAGAATAAATATGAGAGCAAGTCGAGGAAAATTAGAGGGAAGAACTTCAAAGAAGGATTCATAATGTATCCACCAATAAACGATTGTATGTTTCTTAATTTTGTATAGTGTTAATATAATAATAGTAATGATAGCATAAAAGAAATATTAATAAAATAGTAAATGTGAATGCTTAGCTATAATCCGCCTCTTGTAAATGGCCTCGTTGCGTTTCTCGTGAAAATCGCATTGTTGATCACTTTTATGTTGTTTGCTTGATGCAAGCCTGAAGACCATACTAGATAAAACAGAAAAGAAATTATGTCCGCGTTTATATTAAATAAAGGTTTAATACTGAATACTGACACAGCCAGTGGGACAGACGGATAGAAGGACAAAGCGAACACAACAGCGGCTAAGGGCGCGATAATCCTGATTTGGTCTTTGGTTAAAAAACCCATTTTCAGCTAAACAAACGATAATCTTTCAGAGTTTGCTGCAAAACGAACCTTTCCTGGTCCAACCCAAACGGATTTCTTAAAAAATGAGCATAATATATTAAAACCTCGAAACCGTTTCGACAGCAAGATCATCATCAGCCTAACAGTGCTTCCAATTTTACATCAAATTGTCAAATAAACTGTATTATTAACTAAACAAAGGTAAACAAAAGGTTCGCTAAAATTAGCACGGTCACTGTAAAGCTGGTCCCAATAAAAACATGGAGCAATGGAACAATTCCAAATGGACGAGGTCATGAGATATTAAAAATTTGAAAATTTGTAAAGATCACATTTGTTGAAAACGACTGTACCATGCTTTCGAATTAGACACGATATTCAAATCTTTATGCATGTCCCCCTTTCATAGCACAGTGTGTAAATCGGACTCGGTTTACTCTAGTAACATTGGAAGAATTGGCGATATTTTGAAATGATACAGCCCGTATATTTTTACATTTTTGGACTGTGCACAAATGTTTATACCAGATGCGTTGTTTTCGATTATTTGTACGAGGTTGATAAAAAAAAATAATTAACCGGTGTGTTAACATTACAGAAAAAGATATTTCATTCTGTTACTCAACTGTTGATTATCAATTTATTGTAATCATTTGAGAAACATATACAAAGCGCTTCATAATACCCGAGTGGACACTGTGATTTCTATTTGAAACAATTGATTTCAAGGTATAAGATTTGTTATTGGATAAATTAGCCAAAATGGATTGTTGTAAGACGCAATGAAGAACGATTTTGCTCAATTCATGGTCACACTTTTCGTCCAACTCGAGGGACAAACCACTGAGGAATTCTGGTGTACGTCCTCTTGGAATTCATGGAAGTCTTTTGAAATTTACGAAATTATTTTGTATTCTTTTTACAAGCTTTAGTTAAGGTTGTGGCTTACTTTATAATGATTTTTATACCTATAGATTCAAAAAATTCAGCGTCATAGTTGGCAATGGAAGTTTTGTGAACATACCATGTATAAAACTTTTTAATTTAATTCACAACTCGAAATAAATTGACTGGTTCGTCTGACAAGTGCATTGATGTTCGTTCACGGTAACGCCTTTTCACCTCCACCTATGACGCCGAATTTTTTAATAGTTCTTTATAATTACCTAGAATTCATTCAACATTTTTGAAGTGACTACTTCTTATCGCTCGGTATGACTGTATGTTTTGCACGAGACTAAATTCATCTCATCCGTCACAAGACGCTCCGTCACGAGACGATTCAAATACTCATCTCATCTATCACGAGACACTATGCGGAACCGTGATCTTTATAAAGCGCATTTAAACGGAAATATCGTTTTAAAATGGTCGATTTTGAAATTGTCAATAGTGTAATTTCGTGCATTTTTTATCATTGTAAACAAAGCCAAAGAATCCTTCAAGAGTGTGTAAGGTAGCGAGGTGAGGCGGCATATCCGCCAAAACCGAAGCTATGCTCTCGTATTGAGTCATATGATGCCATTAATTTTTGAATTTTTACAAAAATCATTTCTTGAATTCTGCTTGTCGTATTAAAAGCTTTGCGAAAAAGTGGCACATATCGCGATGGCCGGAAGTCCCTATCTTTCACAAACAGCTAAGATGCACTGCAGTCTTAACCAAAATAGAACACACGGTATAATCTTGGACCCTTTGCAGAATTTTAACCTCGCGCGTTCGCTGAATTGATACTGGCCGAACAGAAGTGATTGATATATGTTTTTAAAATTCTCCTCAGTAACAAACTTTACTTTTATCTCCATGATTTGGTTGGAAAATCTGGTAGATAGGCGTTAGTCCACCAATAAAACATCGGCCTTTGGCAAACGAAAAATTCGCAACGGATATTTCATTTCCCCAATATTATGCAATTAGATACCGTTACAGTATTTTTTGAAGGGTATGTGCAAAGATCGAAAGGCAGTGATTTTATATAAAGGGGGATGAATGTATTTTCAAGTTAGTGTTTGATCGACAGGTATTTAAATAAATATAATTTATTTATGCAGAGTAACAAAACGAAGATTCGCTTATTTATAAATTGTGACAAAAAATAATTTGTGACATGGTCATTCTAAATTAAAAGGACCTCTCCAAATCAAAAAATTGGTTTCAAAATTACGGTTGCATTGTTGCCTGGTTTATGACCATTGCATTGCAAAGTGATATACAGGCATCGTTCGCATTATTGCGTTACGTAACGTGCATTTTTCAATAATAAAAAAACTATCCAAGCGTGAATGGCCTACAATTACCTTTGGTAAATCGAAGGTTACCTTATTTTTGCATCGACGTTTAAAAAATTCAAAAAGACAACTGTCAAATCACACTTGCGAGAAAGCATAGGTTCGGCCAATGTTCTAAAGTGAGATGGAATATGCTCGAAGAACACCTTAGAAAGTTGATCAGGTAAAGTTGCTAACACCGTCTTATGAAAGCGGTCATTGGTAAGACCGCTAATTAGAATTATGACCAGAACAATTTCAAGTCGTGCATAAAATTTTCATTCGGCAAGTTGCGCTCACTCCAACAGCTGCAAGTTTTATCGTTCGCGTTTGAAAACAAAAATTTTTCAAAATACACCGGTGAAATCTGTGCACATGTGTCAAATTACAAATTTATTTAATTATTTTTTGAGAGATTTAAAGAATTATTCAATTACAGTTCTTGGAGTGAAGTACCTCAAATTTGGATGTTCCGCGCTACTGCCGATTTCGATAATTGATATAAGGGAGTTTTTTTGCAAGTTCTTTGGTGAAATTACGTACTAAACATAGGTAACGCGATTTTACGCTTCCTTAAGGACGTTTTCATAATTTATATCAAGTACTTAATTTACGCCGTTGTTTTATTGGCACTAGCTTACTTTTATTTAAAGTTTTTTACCGACGAATTAAATTAATTTTCAAAAATCTGTGTTGCATAAAGTACAGTGGAGTTGTTTGTGTGAAAGAGGTGAAATGCGTTGACTAATTAAGTGGAAACAAGCGTTCCAATTTACTTAGGTAAGAATTACCAATTAGTCTTCATGTTTTCTATTTACGCTGCCCGCATTAATCGGTTTTCTTAATGGTGAAAATAAACCAAAAGGCTGGTGTTACGTTAACCGATATATTTTATGATGCACTTTGAATACCTAATTTCCTGTTATTTACAGATTGTGAAAAAGTAAAAGTAGATTTACTAAAAATCGAGATTAATTGGTCACATAGGAAATTATATGAAAGTATCACCTAACTCGCGCAAACAATAAATACCGCTGCTTAAACCTAAAAATATGAAAGCGATGTAGTACACAACCATATTAATGATGTAAAAACTACTTTAATTTACCCAACAATTATTTATACATATACCTTTACAAATAATTAATTTCACTAATTGTAAATTTGTTGATAAATAGTCGACAATGAAAAGTGAAATGCTACTTTCTTCGCTGTTCTGCTTGTAAAAGCGCTTATTGAATGGAATCTATCGGTATATTTAAACACTTTGTTACTACATTACCGGAACGATTCAATTATAAAATCACCAATCGAAGAATCCGTTCTGTAAAGGTGCAAAATCGCGTACTTGAAATTCCACCGTGCATGAATGTAAATGAAAAGGAAAATCTGTACATACATTCATTTATAGCTATTGTTCTGACATCGAAAACTCTAGCATACTAATACTTATTTGCTTGGGATGGAATTTAATTAATTAAATTTGCATCTACGATCTCAATTTATTATTATAAAATATTTTGGTTTTATCATAACTTTCGGAATGAAGGGCTGTGCGCCCATCCCAAATGGTAAGGAATGGAAATGATATCTAGTTCTAATTATGCAATGAAAGTAAAATAGAAAGGGAACAACTAGTTCATAGCATTACGTGCTTTAATCTTTAAATGATAAATAATTCACAATGTAAATGGCAAAAGTGTAAATTAATTAAATAAAAGCAATGCAACACAAGCCAGTTACCAGTTGTACAGTAAATTGCCAAAATAATGGACTTATCAAAACAAGCCTTATATGACTAAGGCCACGTTGATGGAATATACTGAGAGAATTGAGAAAAGTGGAAAAGCTTGTTAAACAGGTCCTATAGTCTCAAAAGTATCATCAAAAAACCGTTGCTACCACAGCAAACATTGATTCTACACCCAATATGAACAATTACAGCAAATTCCAACTGAATCTTGTGCTTTTACTCTGACGTATTTTTTTTAATTGCAATTGTGAAAATAGAAAATCAATCATGCTATCGTGATATTCAGCAATATAAGAATGAGGGGGTGAGTGAGAGTGAATTTTTTAGACATTGCTATACCATTTTGTATCATTGTAAACGTCCGACTAAGCATCTTAGATCTTTTATTCGCGATTTGCTTACTTGTGTTGTGTATTTCCTTTTGTGGTAAGCCTATAAATGTATTCCATTATTATATGAGAAACAAATGAAAATGCAAATATACAAATATACAAAAATAGGTTTTTTACAAAAAGGTTTTTTAAATTATTTGAGTTTTTCAAAATTTTGGCAATAGTAAGACTATGCCTTACCCGATAAGTCACTAGCAAATAATGTCAAAGTTATCAATATGAAAATGCAAAAATTTAATCTTTTTAAATTGAAGGCTAATATCTTATTGTTTCAAGATTTATGTCGCGTAGGGCTAGACGGACGAAAACAAAGGATATAGACGTTACCACTCTCATGGAAAGTCCGGTTTTAGTACAAAATACATATTAAATTTTTTAACAATTTTGTGACAACACAGAAGTACGAGGCATCTTTTGGGCCCGGTGTCGCATCGGTACGTATGGAATCCGTTCACGTGTGATATGGGGATGTATCTGTATATTTCAGTGTAGAATTTATCGGTGAACACCAAAATGTAAGTTTCCAATTTAAAAAATTAAGTTTTCATCCTAAAAATAATGGGTATCTGTACAGTGTATCCACAATTTATGGAATGTAGTCTATATCTCGGTAAATAATGACTGTATACGTATACATTTTTTTTATTATAAAAGTTATTTAATATTTTATTTCCCGTAATAAAATAGCATTCAGTTGTTTTTATTACCGGAAAAAAATGGGTAGCGAAAAACAATTTGATTTTTTACTACTTACTTCGAGACTTACTTATACCTTGTTATTAGAAATTAACTTTTTTTCAAGATTTTGGAGAGGTTAGGCCGCTGCCTTGCAGCTAATCGCGCACATTTTCAAAATGTATTGAAATGAAAGCCATTTTACTGCTAATTTCGTTTTGTATTGTAGGAAACGTACACGTTCATTTGTTTTATTTTGATGTAGGTTATCTAGATTTATGTTATTGGTGTAATTACGTAATAAAGAGATTTTAAATTTTTTTGAAAAATATTCTTGCATAAGGATAACATGTTACGTAATCGAAAAGAGAAAAAAAGATATATATCAAACGAGCGTATAATAAAATTAAAAACAATTGAAAGGTCTAAACACCCTCTGAAACCTCAGCGTTGACCCCGTCATCCCAAAACCACCCCCAAGTGGGATAAAATCTACCTTTTTTTAAAATTTTCTTAATAACTCTAAAACGAAGCATTTTAAGTAAAATTTCCTACGAAATATATACATACAACAACAAATTTTTTAGATGTTGAGTGGCGCAGATAAAATTTTCAGCAACCCATTGTAATAATCGAAATACTATTTTCTAATATTTCTATAAAACGCTGGAAACTTTTCACTTAGATTGCCTACAACGTGATGAATTCAATACTGCCTGAAAGGGGGGCCTTCAAAGTGCCCCCCCGTAACTCTAAGCAAGTCAATAAAGGAACCTCCCCCACTTTCGACTTTTCCGACATCTCATTCTCCGTTTAGTTCGTACTTGCCGTTAGTGTTCCTGTGAAGAGTGAATATTTTCCAAACTCTCCTTATCGCATTGTTGTAAATTTATTTGTGAAAAGGTAGCGTTTAATCTCACTTTGGCCGGCCGGCCGGCTGGCTGGATAGCAGCAAATGCGCACTCGTGGAAGAACGCTTGTTGAAAGACGAGGGGTGTACCTGTCCCTAACGGAGCCGTGTAATTAACAACTTTAGGGACGAGGCTACATATTCTGGGGTCGGCCACATCTAGGAGGCATCCCCGAGGGTGTTATACTAACATGGTGATTTTCAATTGATTCATATCTTCTATAGTTTGGGTCAAGTTGTTTTCAAATTGGTGTCATTGGAAAGATCTTGTAAACGCGCCCAACTCCTGCGTGACGGAATTTTTTTTTGTAGAAGTGAAATTAACCAACTTGTGCAAGGCGCGCGTGTTCGAGTGGTAGTCGACTTCGACCACCCAAAAGTTGCTTTCCCTTGTGAATTTTGTTTAAAGTTTCTTAAGGCCCAAATCACGGACTCTCTTTCTCGTGTCGCCAATAGAAGCTCGAGCAATGAGAAGTGCCCCAAAAATGGAGTACTAATTTGTGGAGGATTTCTAGCGAAATCCAGCAAAATGCGAATTGCGGGTGAACGGGACGTCGGAAGTGGGTACCGAAAAAGGGAATATCCCTGACAAGATTTTACGGACGATGAAAACTTCAAACGCGAATTGCGAGTGAACCGGAAGTCCAAAGTGGGTACCGACAAAGGAAATGGGCGGAAGTCCCTTTATTTATTGACTAGATTTTTCTACACTTCATGTATTCTAACCGTCCTAATATTTTCAATTTTCTTTCATATACTCGTAGATCATAGCCGTTTTTCAATTGATGTCTTTTTACCTATGCGTCAGCGGTCGGCAAAGACAAATCACCAATCGCACACACGTACACAATTTTTAACAAAGTGAAATCAAACTACGGCAACACTGACTGCAAGTAAAGTAAACGCGGAGAATGAGGTGCTGGAAAAGCTTTTACGCCCACGACTTGAAGCGCCAATGAAAATTAGGTTAGATAGCGTCAACTTCGAAGGAACGCATAATTGTTCATACCACAACACTGAAATAAACCTTTTATAAAAAAACTCAAAATTTGTCCAGATCTTCCCACATTTATCACGCAATTTTACGTTTTATAATTAAATACACAAATCTAAATAAGTATTACACACAGGCAATAAAGTTAAACAAGCAAAATTACGAAATTCTAAACTGTTATAAAATGGAAGAACACCAAAGTACAAATTCAAATGAAATAAACCAATTCTGTGCTTATTCGTAAATAACACCCACCACCACCACCACCCCACCCGTATCAAATTTACTTATTTGAAATACTTCTGACATTCATGGTATCCCGTCTACAAGACGTTACACAGCATCTCATACTGCAGATACAGGTATAGGTAGATCAAATTAAAATATGCAGTACAAGATTAATCAACGTAATGACATTTTTTGTACCTTGGTAGGTATCTCTCGGAAATGTTGAATAAACACAGGAAAAATCATTGCAGTAAACCTAAGATTTTATTTTCATACAGTCATCCAAACGGAGACTGACGGTCAAATCTACCAAAATAGCGCATTTCCCTAAATTGCAAAAACATTTTCCGTTAATTTTGATGCACAAATCATGAAACTTTGTCCCCAAATCTGTACAACAGGGCACGATAAAGGCATTGAGTTGTAACCCCAGATTGACAATTTTATGTCTAATTTTGAGTCACAAAATGTAGGAGTTGGTGCACGAATAAAAAAACGAGTACGTACCAAGGAAGTTTCGGTTTTTGTTTTTGTGATCAACTGCATGACAAGCAGTTTCTAAGACTGTCCACGGTTAAAACTTGAAATTCTTTACGGTATGCTTTATGAAATCCCATAGATACCATTCATGATTTCAATAAAAGATTAGCCTCTATTCTTTAGCATTGACTGTGATCAGACGTTACGATTTCAAGTAAAGTACGGAAAAGAAGAAAGTAAATATCAATTTTCTAAAAATCAACAAAAAGAGCAAACTTACGATATAAAAAGACACGCAGCTCACGCAATTGAAATTGCACAGGGCGGTGTGGTAATTTTTTTGTTGGT